GTAGTGTGACCCCAAACATCACACCTCGTCATGCCCTTGCGATATGATCAGATTTTTTTTGGTTCTCCAGATGAACATAGAAGACTGAGATGTGCACCATTCAATTCCCCATAAAAATACTGTCGAACGGTATACAACTCACTTTCTGGAGAACATCTAGTTTACCTGCCACTAGATCCATTTTGTGACATTTCCCAATTTTCGAAGGGATGTTTTGAGGAAATTCGAGAAGGGAGGGACGAACTCTCTTCCCTATCGTAGAGTAAGTTTACTTGTATGTTGGAAAAAGATGATACACTCGGGCTTGAGCGAGTGTTTCTTCCCTGGTGTGGCCTCAAACATCGCTCTCCGTCATGCCCTGAAATAAAAACCAGATTTTTTGGTCTTCCAGGTGGCTCTACGGAGCTGTGGTGTACACCATTCGATTCTCCATGCAAAATGCTATCGAACGATATACATCTCAGTTCCCACTTGAAACTTTCGTTTTTCATCGCCTTTTCCTTATCGCCGATCGCCTTCCTCAGCCCTGGCCACCCACGTGCTATTCACGTGCGCGGTGCGTGAGAGCTCACGTGACAGCCGATGGCCTTTCTCGGTAGCTGGCGGGCAGCCCGATCGATACACCGCTATGCGTGTCGAAAGTGCGTGGGAAAGTCACCACGCACCGCGCACGTGAATAGCACGTGGGTGGCCAGGGCTGAGGAAGGCGATCGGCGATAAGGAAAAGGCCGAAAACGGTGAAAAACGAAAGTTTCAAGTGGGAACTGAGATGTATATCGTTCGATAGCATTTTGCATGGAGAATCGAATGGTGTACACCACAGCTCCGTAGAGCCACCTGGAAGACCAAAAAATCTGGTTTTTATTTCAGGGCATGACGGAGAGCGATGTTTGAGGCCACACCAGGGAAGAAACACTCGCTCAAGCCCGAGTGTATCATCTTTTTCCAACATACAAGTAAACTTACTCTACGATAGGGAAGAGAGTTCGTCCCTCCCTTCTCGAATTTCCTCAAAACATCCCTTCGAAAATTGGGAAATGTCACAAAATGGATCTAGTGGCAGGTAAACTAGATGTTCTCCAGAAAGTGAGTTGTATACCGTTCGACAGTATTTTTATGGGGAATTGAATGGTGCACATCTCAGTCTTCTATGTTCATCTGGAAAACCAAAAAAATCTGATCATATCGCAAGGGCATGACGAGGTGTGATGTTTGGGGTCACACTACGGAAGGAAGACTCACCTGCCACCAAGGTTTCTATGTAATTCCTACAGACAAGTGACCGTAGTCTACGCCAGTGGAGGAAATTCGTCGCTGCCTTCACAGCTTTCTACATAACATCTGCTCTAAACATGGAACATGTCGCAAAAAATGGGGCGAGGTGTGATGTTTGGGGCCACACTACGGAAGGAAGGCTCACCTGCCACCAAGTTTCCATGTAATTCCTACAGACAAGTGACCGTAGTCTACGTCAGTGGAGGAAATTCGTCGCTGCCTTCACAGCTTTCTACATAACATCTTTTCTTTTTCCATATGTGCTCTAAACATGGAACAAGTCACAAAAAATGGGGCGAGGTGTGATGTTTGGGGCCACACTACGGAAGGAAGGCTCACCTGCCACCAAGGTTTCCATGTAATTCCTACAGACAAGTGACCGTAGTCTACGTCAGTGAAGGAAATTCGTCGCTGCCTTCACAGCTTTCTACATAACATCTGCTCTAAACATGGAACATGTCACAAAAAATGGGGGGCGAGGTGTGATGTTTGGGGCCACACTACGGAAGGAAGGCTCACCTGCCACCAAATTTCCATGTAATTCCTACAGACAAGTGACCGGAGTCCACGTCGGTGGAGAGAATTTCTCGCTAAATCGCACGTGGCGCCAAGGGCTGGGAGGACGATCGGCAATGGGGAGCAAAAAAGTGAGAAAAACAAAAGTTTTGTGTGAAACCTGAGTTGTACACCATTCGGTAGTATTTTTCATGGGAAATCGAACGGTGCACCCCTCAGCTCTGTAGAGTCATCTGGAAGAGCAAAAAATCTGATTTTCATTTTAGGGCATGACGGAGAGTGATGTTTGGGGCCACACCACGGACGGAGCGCTTACCCGTGACCAAATATTCTACATCAATCCTACAGAGAAGTAACTGGAGTCTACGTCAGTGGAGAGATTCCTGGCTATCTTCTCAGGTTTCCGCAAATCATCTCCTCTAAATGTGGGGAATGTCACATAATAGGTCTACTACTACTGCTGGAAACTGTTCGAAGATTCTCATTTGGAGTGGAAGAATGGGTTGATCAGCGCACGGTTAGCCAATTAGCACTCTAAAACGAAGTAAAGATCGTGAAATTCGAAAAAAAAACATTCACTCAGTCTCACCATATGGTGGACCGGTTGGGTACGTGGCGTATTCTGAGGGTGTTGAGATCCATCTTTCTGTAGGATGATCAGGCTGCATAGGAGGACTTATATGCGCACCACATACAATGTATATTCATTACTTCTCGGGATGGAGGTCGAGTGCATGGCGCAATCCTAGATGGAGCTCTTTCAGAAATTGAATTTAACCATCTTGTAGATCTCGAGCAGAGCTATCAGATGGTATAAACTGCAGGTCGAGCGAACCATTTTTTAAAGAGTTATGGCGAGCCGACGGTTTGCGACGGTTTCCGACCGTCGCAAACCGTCGATTGAACAAAAATTAGTAGCGGTATTGTACGTGGCCACTATGAAGATTTTCTTATAGAATGGAATGCACTCTTTAATAATAAGTTGGAACCGTTCGGTCTGAGTTGAGTAAAATGTGCTTAAATCCATCTGGAAGTGGAGGCAAAATGTCTTTTTTTTTGGCCCCCCCTGTATAAGCGGCTAGCGTGTGTCTGTTGGTGTGTGTGTGTGTGTGTGTGTGTGTTTGAACGGAAATTCATAGCTCGAGTCACAGTAACGATAGCGCAGTGGTTCTTACATGTTATAGGGGGTGGGATGGGGACACAAGTGGTACGTGATAGGAACTGATAACGACTGATAATAGCTGATAAGAGGGGCTAGAAAGCGAGCATCGCCAATTTCGTTTTGTCGTTCATATTGGTACTAGAGCGTCTATACTTACAAGTCTTATGTGGGGCGGTCCCGGGACATTGGTGGTACATGATTGGAAGCGATAGCAACTGATAATGGCTGATAAGATGCGCTAGAACGCAAAAGTCGTCGATTCCGTTGCCTGGCTCGCGTTGACACCAGAGCAACCATACTTACAAGTGTTATGTGGGGTGGGACGGGGACATTGTTGGTGGGTGCCAGAAACTGATAACGATTGATAAGGGCCGATAAAGGCGCGTCAGAACGCAAAAGTCGTTAGTTCCGTTACGCAGCGTTGACACTAGAGCGTTCCTACTTACAAATTGTAGTAAGTCGTAGTAGTACAAACAAAGGTACGTGCACATTATTTCGATATATATCCAGCTTACTTAATAGAATTCGACTGCATAAACTTTAAAAAACAAGTCTTCAGCAAATGATAAGTTTCATTTCTGACTATTAAGAAAACCCAAACTCATTAAACCGCTAATCCTTTCGTGGTTCTAAATAATGATGAATGTAAATGAATGATAAGCATTAGCTCCTCACTTATGTAAATAGGCATATTTCGTTTTGATTTTGAGACTGACAGCAATCCTATTCACCGCTAATTATCTTAATTCAAGAAAAATGCTGGATGTTTACAGTTGTGATCAATATACCAGTTCAGCTCAGACGTTATCACGCGTATTCTCGATGAGCTTCAGTGAAACTGTGGAGGGTCTAACACAGTCAATAGTGAGATGGTTAATGGAGTATCTCATGCTGATATTCCATGGGTCCTCCAATTTCGCTAAAGCCTGCCGTGTGATGCGCGCGATAGCGGGCGAAGCAAAACTGGTTGAATTATATGTAACAATTACTATTGAAACACCTAATCAATAATCACTCACTACCTCAAAATACTCTTAAATTTAAGAGCTACTCTGGCCAAATAGAACAGCGGCTGCCGAAAGTTGCGTCGAAATACCTAGGAAGTAGAAAGTACATGTGTGTTGGAACTTCCTGCATTAATATTGACAAAGTTTTGATCTTTATTTTTCGCAAAAAGGAACAGCAATTACGCGTAAAATCTACTGTTCTGTAAAATAGTCCCACGACGACGGTGAGCGGAGTGGGCTTTCTGATGACGTTATTGAACAGTCCAGTGGTGAATAAGACCCTTTACCGCGCTGAATTGGGTAGGAAGAGGGGGAGGAAGTTGGGGGGGGGTGGGGGGGGGGGGAGCAAGGTGTTTGAAATCCTCAATGCCCCTCCACCAATGAACTCCTCAAAAACGGGGGCACTCCCAGCCATCGGTGACATTTCCCCTAAAAGGACTCCTCAAAAAGGAAGTTCCACTCAACAGCAATTCAATGGCGGCCACTTTAGCTTTATTGGTGAACATTTCAGAGCTTTTTTGGCCCATGGCAATGCGGCATATTACATCCATTGTGAACTCTTTATAGAACCTGGAAACATACGCATTAATATGTTGTCACAACCTTAATATGACCTTAGTAATTCTCTCACGGGAAGATGTCAAAAGCTTTTTTGTCAGCTTCTTTCTCGAAGAAGTCCATCAAGGCAAGTACTGAGCTCTCCACTGTGGGACGGACCTGAAGGAAAAGATTGTCACTTGTTGATATGTTGAAGGCAAAGGGGGTTGAACATAAAGAATTTGATTTTTCTTTGTGTTAGACTTCAATATGAAGGGTGAAATCTCCAGTAATATAGTTCGGAAACATCATGCAGAAGTAATACCGCGGCTAAAAACCATAGTTACTCAGAAATGAATTCCGTTCGGGACAAAGACGTTTTCTCCTCCTCGTGCCGTCAGTTATCATCTTGAAACCAACTTTGAGTGTGAGGGAGCCTTTTTAGGAATTGAAGCGCATTCTGTATGAAGGCATGCGAGCAAGATCAATTTCCACTAAAAAGCCAATCGGTTCGGAACCCAATAACTACAATTCAGTCGTGAAGCAACCTACACAGCACACACCAAGCAGAAGACCGCTGCGAAAAACATTGATAGGCTACCGGAATCCCTGGTATGGGATCTGCATTCACCGAAAACCATAGGAGCGCCCATTCGAACGTTTAAATGGACGTCTCGCCCTTTGCACAGGTGCGAAACGTGGACACCGAAATTGGTTCTAAAACAGATTGCGGTTTCATCTGAATGCATCTGTAATGAAGACATTGGGAAGCGTTGTTGGGAAAGCGCAATCGGTAACAAATGAACAACGCCACTAGAGAGAAAGAAGAGGATCAAAACGACGGTAAATATACTTTGAAAAGTTGAGGGAATTGTTTGGTCTTGGCGTAATGGATTCAATGGATTCACGGTGTCAGAGAGGTGATTGAGCTAACATTTTTGTACCAATTCTCTCGCTTACGATATTATTTCGATTGCCTTCGCACTTTTTAAGGAATAATCCCTGCAGACCTTGTGCCCGCACTAGACACCCTCCGGTCTGCAGATAGAACCCGAAAGGAAAATTCCGAGCTTTGGCCAAAGTTAGCTGCAGCAGCTGCAGTGCTCCTTGTGCACAGCAGGGTGTTGTCCGGGATCGTCTCATGTGTTTGCGCTCTCCCGCCTCATACTTTCCTATCCGCACTCACGACAGCCTCTCATTGCCTTAGCACAAGCCGTATTGCAAGGGTGAGCAAGCCCTTAATCTGAGCCTTTTCGACAGATTCCTCTCCATTTTCTTCACTTTACACCAATTTTTCGTATTATGCAAGAGTCTCACCAGTTTGATCCCGGGCATGCCTTTGAGAAGGAACTTGAATAGTTTGCCTACTTCGCATGACTTTGCTTACCTTTTTCAAAGAAGCCGAGGAAAATGCTGGGCTGGCAATGGCTCTGAGACGCTTCCATCGCACGCCTTGTGCTTCGAAAATGTGAACACGAGAATCGTTGTTTACATCTCCAGCAATGATGTTAATCTAAACTTCCAAACAATATCAAGCCAATCGATTGATTTCCTTTTGAATCTTACAAAAGGGACCAGTAACAGCCATTGCTATACATACATAGCGTACATAGAGTTGTAATAAGAAAATTCGCTATGACTATGAAAAGAGCATTTTGAGGACATTTTATCTCTAGAAAAAATTCCTCAATAATGTAAGCAACTGCGCGCACGAGGATGAAAAAAACATGAGTACGGGGATAAACACGAAACATCGAAATTCTGTTATAGAATTACCTTTCGACCATAAAAATAATCGAATTTTTTAGTGAACAATTCGCGGACCATTTCGACATCGCTAACCACCAGCGTCCTTTGCAAACCCTCTTGGATACCATAGACTTTGCCATAGGTCTGAAATATAATGGGCACCATTGTGCAACTCTCAGTTGATGCCCCTTGTCGTACTGTGAAAAAAAGCTAACAATAATCCAACCAACTTTTGTCCATTCTCGCAACACCAATGCGACGGGCTTTGTCACATCTGTCAGCTCATGCATATTTCCCAGGAAAATCGTCCCTGGTGGGCCTGCGATACCACGGCGTTTCCAGAAATCGAGCTGCCAGTAGTAGTAGCTTTAAATGATACGTTTAGCGTGAAACGCCACTTGATTTAACCTTTGTTTTGATCTGTGTAGTTCAAATGCCCTAAAGTGGGTTAGCTGGAGCCGGCTTGATAAAACGAAATATGCTAATTACAAGGGAACGCTAGCTACCTAAACAGACTATATAAGACGTTCTCTGCGCTGAGAGGCGTGCTCGGAGCAACTAGCTCTACCTATTATTTCACACTTTGTGTTTAGGCCTGCCTCCCAGCCATTGACCCTGTCCATCGTATTTGTAGCCCTCCCAGTAGAGAGACTCGACAGTGTATAACTCCAACGATGATAGCCATCATGGGACCTCGCCTACCAAAACTAAATAGCACAACATAGCATTACTCCCATTTTATGGGTATTTGACTGACTTTCTCTTTCACCTCTTGACTGCTTAGACCCCAGTCCTCATTTTGCCAAGTGAACTGGCTTTCAGTAATTCAAAATAAAATAAGCCGGTGTATCATCATATATTCTAATGTAGATCATGCAAAAAAAGACGGTAGACAACGGAAAAGTGGTTGTTTTTCAAACTAGCATAGGAGATAACTTTCCTGGAGTCGTCGTCTGAACTTTGATTCTAGCGGAACTTTTAAGTCTGTCTAGCTTATGGGAGCATCTATGAGTAAGGTTCCTCCTCTACCACATTTCTAATGGCTGCTTTAGTCATATGAATCGGGAACGATGTCAAATAAACATTGGAGTTTTACCACGGTTTCACAACTTTTAAGGCTACAATTCTCTATGAAAAAAAAACACAAAATGTACCTGATAAAAGCCAGAAGTAACAGAAGAATAATGCCGAGCAGAAAAATCATTGCAGGCGAAAGTTAGCCAATAACTGAAGAAGAGGATGGTACAGGTGTGCTCTGGTGTTTATGGTATCAGTCTTATTTGTGGTATCGTCCTGTGAGAGTATTACCGACCCAAATGTTGTTATCGTGTCCGAGCGGACAGATGAGTTGATAAGAAATTCATATTTGATAAACAACAAACTAGGATTTCTGCTATGTATATATTGATCTCTTTGGTGCACTCATTTGGCCTACTCTTGATCTTTTTATTTATATAAAACATCAGTGAGGGTTGTATTACCCTTTTTTTTTACCTTCCATGACATTGAAAGTAATGATGATAGGTCTGAAAAAAGGTTTATGTGACCGATACTGATCACATGACCGAAGTATGCAGATGATTCCGAGCTTTCCAGCTACTGGCTATAGTAAGCTCCAACAGAATATTGTCGTAATCTCTTGAAGCTTCAGAAGAATGTCAGAAGGCAGTTCAATGACCGGAGGCGTTGTCTTGCCCTTGCACACCAGTAGAGGAAGGTCCAGTCTAGAGCACCAGATTTTCTGCTGATCAAAAGGTTGATCAATCAGTGTTATACCAAGCTAGAATATAAAAACATCGAAACGAATGCTAATCGGTTCCAGCAGCCCATAAATAGATCATAGCCATTCGACGACGACTTGGGTCGGACGCTGGACCGCTCGGGTAGGACGAACCAACACTGAGGATCACTCTTAAGCTTGCCGTAGATTGCTCCAGCAGGCGGGGATGGGGGTTGAAGGGTTTCCTACACGGTTGTTCAGTGTTGGAAGACCACCCGGAAACCAATTTTAGATGAAAATTGTAGTATGCACTGCGTAAAGCGGCTATCTACTTCGGAAAACTCGGTCATCAATCTGTGTACATAGTTTCGGACGCTCACAACTGCAAAGCGGTGGTCCTTATATCGACGCTCGAATTCAAATTTTGCTTGCCTCGATGATTTGTCACCTTTTATGG